TCCCATTAAAATGAGCAAGAGTTAACAAAGATGCTGCTGTGGTTTTGTATTGTTTGCATATTATCAGTTTGCTTAATTTTCCATCTTCCTGATTTGTACCATACTATGAACTACTAACTAATCAAACAGATCAGGTCTGTATCAGGGGTGAAATGCTCCCGGTTCAGTCCGGATTGCCCAATCCGGTAGCGATGGCAGCGGGTGATTCGGAGAACTGGTAGCAAAAATCCCTGCCCCCGCCCCCAGCATGCCCAGCTGAGCCGCGCAATCATCAGAGGCTTTTTTTTAAACTTTTAAAAGCATTTTTTCTTTGGCCGAAAAAATGCTTTTAAAAGTTAAAAAAAAAAGCCTCTGATAATCACGCCAGCTGGGATCGTCAGAGCCTTTTAAAAGCATTTTTCTACAACCTCTTCAAAGAGGTTGTAGAAAAAAATGCTTTTAAAAGTTTTAAAAAAAAAGTTGGCCACGCCCCACCCAGTCACATTAACCCCCCCACCAAGCCATGCCCACAGAACCGGTAGTAACAAATTTTACATTTCACCACTGGTCTGTATAACTGGTACGAAAAAAACCAAGTTTAATACCAGCGAAACCTAGCAGGCTATATGAATCCTAGATTTGTAATGGATCCGATTTAAGCATATTGTTATAAAAATAGCCCATATAACATATCCAGAAACATCCCATGATTGAATTCTCCATTCCCACAATGCCCCTCTCCAAATGTTCTGACCATGATTTCACCTTGATTTGCCAAGATCAAACATGTGAGTGTTCATATGCTAAGTGTGTGGTGTGCCTTTCAATAATGCTTCTACTATTGGTATAGTTTATATGTTCCTATTTCAGGATGATGAAAAGACGGGATTCTGTGGTTGTGACCTGAAATGCTTGTGATATGTTGTGTTCTTGTCCAAAACAATTTGGCATACTGTGTATTTGCAGCAAATGTAAATTGTGGTTAGCCTTGAAGAAAAACAAAATCAAAGGAGAGGAGCAAAGTGTGGCCATGGTTCAGCTGATGAGAGAGGGTAGGATTTATCAGATCAAAGAAAGAATGCTCCATAACAGAAACCAACAAAGAAAACAATTCTCCATAAGGAAGTGAATCATACAATAAAGAATACTATGATAGATGGGAGTAATAGCCAGAAGCAAGAACCCTAGAATGTTATATCATACACTACCCAGAGTCTCTCTTTGAAGGAGATGGGCAGTTCAGAAATATGAAAAATAAAAGTTTTCAAGCACTTGAACCTAAGACTTATAAAAGATGGAAATGTAAAGGTTTTCCCCAAAGGTCCAGTTGTGTCCCATTCTAGGGAGTGGTGCTCATGTCAGTTTCTTAGCCAAGGAAGTTCAGTGTTGTCTGAAGACACTTTTGCTGTCGTGGCCAGCACGACTATATACTGAGGCACATAGAATGCTGTTACCTTCCTGCTGAAGTGGTACTTATTTATTTACTCACATTTATATGCTTTTAAACTGCTAGTTGGGCAGGAGCTGGGGCAAGTAACAAGTCACCCTGTTGCACAGCCTCAAATCTTGAATCTGGGCTGTCAGTTTCCAGTTGACAAATTCAGCACGTTTAACTGCTGAGCCATAGTATCCCCTTAAGAGTTATCAAATCCCCTATTATTTCTTTTTGTTATCCATGCGTACATGGAACATAAAAGGCATTATATGCATCATAATATCAATATGGACATGACATGAATTATATATTACAGTATATATCAATTACATGATAGTGCAACTAAAGCAAATTACATAATCTGCATTATTTGTATGACAATGTCATCAAGGCACACCAAATGTTTTTAAAAATAATTTTTATTGAAGAGTTCAACAGATTTAAAAATAGTACAAATGTTGAATTAAAGAAGAATATAACAAAGTAATAAGTGAAAAGGAAATACATAAAAAGAAATATAAAAGGGAATAAAAAGATTCTAAAGCAGCTTCCAATCTTCTTGACAGTGGTTATAGATATATTTATATTTTATTCTTTTTCTCTAAGGATACATCATATTTTTCTTTCCATAAGCTCTTTCTAATTTTCAAATCCATAAATCATATGCTCACTTTTCAGCAAAAAGTCCATAACAGGATTCCAGTCACAAATAAATGTAGTTATTGTTTCTTCTCTAACCAAACAAGTTAATTTTGCCATCTCTACTGATTCTGTCATTTTCACCAACCTTGTACCAGATGTCTATGCAGATTTGGATAAATAACACTGCAAAAAACAGATAGAATTGTCCTCTCTATTTATTATATTGCTTGTCTTATACATTTTTTCATAGAAAAGGATCAGAAAAGGAAAAAGCATTACAAATAAATGATTAGCTTCCAAAATGGTATTAACAGGAGATATTTGTTTTGTAGGACCATGGCCTCAGTTAATTAGGTGATGTACTGCTGTCATAGCATTGTATCTCACAAGTACTAGTAAAAATGTGTTTGGCCAAACATGGTAAGTTGTCAGGAGGACATTAAACTTCAACTTGTGGTACTTGATAGTCAAATTCTTGAAATTATTATCTTAAAGACTTGCTATTATAGAATATATAAAAATATTGGAATAAAAGTCAGACAGAATTAATGGTTCATGGATTTCACAATCTTTGCCTATGTCTGCACTAAAGCTCAGAATATAATAAGAGCTTAAGTTCGTAATACAGGAAGGTAAATACGATTTATTAGGTATAATAAACAGGCTTGCTAATAATGGAGGTCTTGGTAGAATAACTCCCACAATTGGAATATAGCAATCAAATCTACAGTTTGAGCTACTCAACTGCATTTTGCTAAGAATCTATCTTCATATCCTGCTAGCTTTAACACAAAGATGCCCCACTAACTGTTTTTGGTAGCTTTGTCTATTTAAGTATTCCAGTTTTAAACTAGCATACAAAAGACTTGCTGTATGAATCATCTCTCAACTTGCTAATATTGGTGATAATGTGGACACATATTGCCCAGTGTTCAGAACTTTGGTCATTCTCACCATTTTTGACATCATTAACTATTGTAGGCTCACTTGTTCTCAACAATAATAGACGTAGTTCATGTTTAGTTACTACAACTGGGACCAGCAGCTCAGTTATTAAGAAAAGTGGTTGCTAAGTGAAACTATGACAAACAGTTATGATCTTACTTCAACTTTCCTTTCTTTACAGATCAGTGAAGATCATAAATGTGAGGAAAATTTCTTTTTTATCACTGTCTGGATTTGGCAATATTATGTTTAGAAAGTAATGAGGGCTGGATGACATGAAAATTAAGAATAGATAAGGACTGTTTGACAATCACATTGAAGAAATGCTAATCAATGATATTGTATGAAACCAGAATGAAATATCAAGTGGGATGCTAACAAAATCCAATCCAGAACCTGTACTTACATTATGTATTAATGATTTAGGGGAAGAGGTACAGGGCATTCTTATCAAATGTGCAAATGTTGCAAAACTGGATAAGATAGCTAATATTCTGGAAGAGCAAAGTGGAAATATCAAATGATCTTTATAGATCATTAATCTATATTAGAGTTTAATTACTCTAATATTAATTAACTGAAAACAGCAGCATGAAATGTAGAGGTCAGTGCAAATTTACACAGATATAAAATGGATTTTACTGGAAGGCCATTTGGGTCATCTGGTTGACTGCAATTGGATGAGTCATCAGTGAGATGCAAAAAAAAAAAGGGGGGGAATGCCACACTAACAATTGCAAATGTCATAAAACAAATGGCTTTAATACTTCATTTTACTTTGGTTGGATGCCACTTCAGGTAATGTATCTATTTTTGAGCACTGCACTTCAGGAAGAATTTTAAAAACATTGAAACAGGGTTAGAAAAAGCAGTAAGGACCATCAGGCAATTAGAAATTAGGCTTCATGAAGAATGTCTATGGAGAGGGGTACATTTAAATTTGGCAATATTGAAGGATTTGTATCAGTTTTCAGATACCTAATAGAATGTCAAACAGAAAAAAGTGTTCTCTTTTGTTCTAGAACACAGGAGTTGCAATAATGGATTTAAGTTAGGCAGATTCTGAGTACTGTAATTCCTCATAGTAACAACAATTCGACAGTTGAACCAATTGCAGTACTTGGAGAGGAGGATTCCTCACACTGCACATTTTCAAGCAGAAGTTAAAACAGGTGTTTGTGGAAACGCTTCCATTTGGATTCCTATATACACCAAGAGGCACCATTCAATGCATAATTTGCCCTTCCAAATTGTATTTGCTATGTTTAAGGAAACATCCTAACCTACCCACTCCTCCAGTTGGGCGACAGAAAGGATATTTAGGTTGATTTGCAGTATCCAAGCATGAGTCTCAATACACTAAATTTCCAATATACACTCACCCCCACCCCCAATGGTGAAATCCAAATTTTTTTACTACCGGTTCTGTGGAAGTGGCTTGGTGGGCATGGCAGGGGAAAGATACTGCAAAATCTCCATTCCCATCCCACTCCCGGGGAAGGATACTGCAAAATCTCCATTCCCATCCCACTCCAGGGGAAGGATACTGCAAAATCTCCATTCCCTCCCCAGTCCTGGGTGAAGGATATTGCAAAATCTCCATTCCCACCTTTAAAGGCCAAGAGTCAGAAAGGGGAAAAATGACCGATGATTGGTATTTCCTTAAAATTCTTGGGCCGAGCAGGAAAAACGATACTCATCTGCCCGCCCGGACCCCTATCCTGCGCCTGCGCCCCTTCCTTAGGGGGGTTTTCCAGGTACAGTTCGACAAGTGCTCGTTGCCCAACCCCGTCCAAGCCTACGGGTCTTACTTTCAGGCTGCCTACCCACCCATTCATAGCCCTCGTTTAGCTTGCAGTACAGGCAATCATCACAAAATCAAGTCATTCTCCTCTCTAGTCTTTGGGGGTCAGGCAAAGAAACTCTCGCCGTCCTCATTCCCCTTCCTTGGCTGCCGCCTCCGCCTTCGCCTCCCTCTCCCTGGACAGAAGGGTCTTCAGAGGTGCGCGCCAGCGCGCTCCCGAGGCAGCCAGACTCCGTCAGTCAGTCAGTCAGTCAGACCGCCAAGCCACTCAGAAGGGATTCCTGGCTGAGTTCCAGGTCGGCGCACTAATACAAGCTGCTAGGCTCCCGCCTGACTGACGCCTCGCTCGCTCGCTCGATCCCTGGCTGGCTGGCTGGCTGGCTGCTGGCTGCTGCTGCTGCTCTCGCTCTGGCCTCTGCCGCCGCCGAGTTCCTGCAGCCGCGTCCCTTCGCACGTTAGAAGGAGGGGGAAGTGTGAGCCACTCGCTCCAAAGAAGTTGGCGCAATCCTGGGAAGGCGACGGCTGGGCATCCGGCGGGAAGGGCAGGCGGCTGAGGCGTTCAACCTACGGGCAGGTACCAAGCTTTTGTTTGAACTCATTTATATGCTTATTTATTTTCCTCGGGCAAGAAATGTCAGTTCCACTCGGGAGACTTTTGCCGGGCTGCCCAGTTTGGGTTTTGTGTGCAGCTTGCCTCGGGGGTAGCCCTTCGCAAAGTTCAGTCTGCTTCTCTCGCTCCTCTCTCTTTCTCTCTCTGTTTACGTTGTCTGCACTGCAGGCGTCAATTTCCTCGACCAGCAGCTACGTGGTGCCCAGCCCTGCCCTTCGGCGGACAAGGCGCTCTTAAGCCTGAACTAGGCTCTCGAGGGGACTTTGGCAGCCGTCAGTTTCCTTTTGGCTGTTTTCATGTCCGGGTGTTTTCATTACCCCCCCCCCCCCCAAACAAGATCTTCGGTTATGATAGGTGTCTGAGCGCGCGCGCGCGCGCGCGCACACACGCACACAGTTTATTTTAGGAAATACTCTTCACGCTGGTTAGCCTGTGACACTTGTGAGAAGTCTGTCTGTTTTATTCGAGAAGGAAACCTTTCCACAGAATGGCCTTTACTTTAGAGTGACCTGTGTGAAACTCCTGGTGTTAGGCGAGGCTGGCGGACTCCCAAAAACAAAAGAGTGGGGGTGGGGGTGGGGGCTCCTCCAAGCAATCGAGGTTATTCATTCATAAAAAGTAGAATGATAAAAGGGTTGACCGTGCAATGACTTGCTCTTATTCTTAATGGTCGACATTGTTTTGGAACTATTTCCCCTCATAAGCGAGGGCTTGTCCTCCTTTCGGTGTTCTTAGAAACGCGCCACATCCATGCAGAAAGGAAGGAATGGAGAGGGGGGGTGGAAGGATTGATATAGGAGACAAACTGACGCCAGTATTGTGATCGGAAGGAGGGGCTCAACGCGAAACGTTTTTTATGGCTAGTTAACCGCTGTCAAGCGCTCTTCAGCCTCTATTTTGATTTCTTTCTCTGCTTTCTAAATTTAGAAAGAAAGCGTAAGGGTTCCTGCCGGAAAATAATTCCTTAGGCTGCTCTTCAACTTCTAGAGGTTATCTGTCTATAAAATCAAGTCGTTAAGAGAGAAAAATTATATTTAGAAACAAAGGTCAGGAGTCTTGAGTCACCATAAATGCTGATTTCTTTTATAATAGTATTAATAGGGCTAGAAGACCTTTTCCAGTTTGCTGTTAAAGACTTTGAATACTAAGGTCCCAGAATTCGTCAATTCCATAAATAACATCATCTGAACCAAAGTTTAACATCTTAGTTGTGATCATCGTTTCTAAGCCAAAGTCTGGGCATGGCCAGAAGGGAGATAAGGATCTGTCTGAAAAATAGAAAAAACAAATATGTTTAATTCTTAATAGAAACCACCAAACCTAAATTAAAATGCTGAAAATTAAGAAATGTGGGAGAAACTCAGACATGATTCTGGTTTAATGGAGCCATGGGCTTTGCATTGACAGTGAAAACAGTAGTGGGCTGAATGTATATTCAGAACCTCTCTTACAATTGGCTCCTCAAAGTTCTGGTTAAAAGACAAACTATATTCTGCAAAACTGAAATTATGGGAGTTTGTCATTGACACATGTGACTGGATGAAACCACAGAATTTCTTTGATTGTGGAAGACTTAGTAACAGATAAATTCTTAACCTCTGCAAAGTTTCAGGGTTTTTTCCCACACTCCTTATATGAAAGGAAGCAGAACATTTGGGCATTTCAGCATTTTGCGCTGATTCCCTTTACTGATATCTGAAACATTAGTCTTTATTTAAAAAAATTACTTCAACTGTTAAAGTTCTATGACTTTTGTGAGTAGAGAAGCAATGTATGAGTCTATCATCAGGTTGACATTTACATTCTGTAGACAAATTACATTGTCAGCTAAGAGAACAAATTACAAACCTGTAATTCTCTATCTATGAATGAATTATCTTATGGCCCAGAGACATAGGAAATAATATACAGGTTCTTGAAATGTAGCCAAGTTTGCAGTTGTCCAGGAAGGGCACTGCAGATAAGAAAATATTTGCTATTTTGTAACTAAGAATTATGAAAATAAGTGATTCAAAAGAGAGTTTTAGAGTTTAAAGGATATAGTAGAGCAATAATTTAGACATTAAGTTTTTAGTGAAGTGGAAAACAATGATTATAGTTCAAATAAATTGTAATTTAATCCATCCAGATTCATAAATTGCTGTGGCAACTCTTAAATACTAAACCGTTATTTATATTTGACTTTTAAAATGGAGTTGGTTTAAGTCAAATGACTGAGTGAATCAACTACAATAGTACCTATACGTAAATATTGCAAAAACCACCGAGTGAATGTATCTAAAAGCAATTTTAGATGCTAACTAATCTCATTCCTATTTAATCAAGACTTTGTATACAACCTACGTCTTGGTCATTTGGCATGATGATATTCCATATTACCACTACAACACAGACTATTTCATTATAATTAAAAATATTTCAAAGCAGCAGCAATACATCTATTCTTTGTGGGATTAAATATATTGTACGATCATAAAACTAATACTAGTTTGAGTAACATGACATTGCAGTTTGCAGTGTTTCTCACAAACAAAGCATTACAAAGGATTCTCATCTTTATAGTTGAAATCTATCAATCTAGTGTAAAGAAAACTTCATTTCCCTATTGGGAGCAGGAGACCTTAATTCTAAAATGGATATATGGCGATAGGAATTTAAACTACTGTGACTGGGTTAACAAATAGAGTGAAGTGATTAATGTGATTTATTCGGCTTCACATGTTGTGTGAACTAGCCACTGTGGTTTATGCTTGCTCATGATATGAACCAGTTTTGTTCAATATTATTATTTTGTTCAATAAAACTATTACAATGATACTGGCTCTCAGCTATGTGTGATCATATCTTGCTTTTAGTCTAACCCATGGTGTCAAACTCATCATGTCATGCCGTCACGTGACGTATTATGACTTTTCCCCCCTTCACGGAGCTGAGGTGGGCGTGACCTGCGCTTGACGCATTTAGCCCATGGGTTGTCAGTTTGACATCCCTGGTCTAACTCAGGGGTGGGTTCTACTTACCTTTACTACCGGTTTGCAGCAGGGCCGCGCACGCTACCTTCGCTCACGTGTGCATGCTCTTCTGTGCATGCACAGAAGCATTCTGATGACATCAGGGTCGGTGGGAGGAGCCTCCCGCCAGTTTTACTACTGGTTCTATAGAACCGGTCCAAACTGGGGGCAACCCACCACTGGTCTAACCACTTTCTACTGGAAAACAGAGTTATGTAAATAAGACATAATGACTTTGAAATATTGTGAAATGTTACTATCTTACTACAGTGTGGTAAATTTTTAAAACTTTTACTGCACTGTAGGCCATTGGGGATAAAGTACTATAACAAATGTGAAATAGTAATAATAAATAAATAATAATTGGACCAAAAAACAAGAAAACTGATGACTATTCATACGCATTACATCCCCATGATATTGATAGATCATACCTTCCCTTCAGAAATGGAAACAGATGTTTACTTCAGGTCAAACTGTCGAAGAAGAAAAATATGCATTGGCTATTATATAAAAGACAGTCAAGAGCAAGCATTGATGCAATTAAAAATTGGAACTTACTGAGTGTACAGGAAGCAAATTGTGAATATCAAAATTATATAATGAAAACAAAAAGAGAATACTGGCAAGGAAAACATTTCATGGTCATTTTTTTACAAAAAAAGATTGAGGGGGAAGTGGATAAAGATAAAACCCTGAAATGATTTAGCACGGGAACATTAAAAAAAAACCTGAAGACTGGGCACAAGGCCAAGTTATTCAAACTAATACAATCAAAGCCAGAATTGAAAAATCATCATCAGATGATGACAAAATTAGTAGACCAGAGAAATGGTGTGGATATAATACTTGGACTTAAATAAGGAATCTAATAAAATACACCAGAACTTACTACGTGATAAGATAGAAAAATGTGGGCTAGACAGCATTCATAACTGGCTGACCAACCACACTCAACACGTAGTCTTCAATGCAATTACATCTACATGGAGGGAGGCATGCTGTGGCGTACCCCAAGTCTCTGTCTTGGGCCCAGTATTCTTCAATATTTTTATCAATGATTTAGAGAAGGGGATAGAAGGGAAACTCATCACATTTGCAGATGACAGCAAGCTGTCAGGATAGCCAATACTCGAGAAGATAAGCTCAAGATAAAGAAGGATTTCTGCAGACTTGAACAATGAGGCTTATCTAACAAAATAAAATTCAATGTTTAGAAAAGTAAGGTTCTATATTTAGGCAAGAAAAACCAAATGCACAGATATAGAATAGGTGATATCTGGCTCGATAATAGTAACTGCAAGAGGGATCTTGGAGTCCTAGTGAACAATCACTTAAATATGAGCCAGCAGTGTGCTGCAGCTGCCAAAAAAGCCAACGCAGTCCTAGGCTGCATTGACAGAGAAATATAATCAAGATCTAATAAAGTTTTAATACCACTTTATAATGCCTTGGTAAGACCACACTTGCAATATTGTATCCAGTTTTGGTCAGCAAGAAATAAAAAAGACCTTCAGCCTCTAAAAAGAATGCCGAGAAGAGCAATAAAGATAATTAGGGAACTGGAGGCTAAACCATATTGAAGTTCCCTTGCAGGAATTGGGTATGTCTAATAAAAACAAGGATAGGGGTAACATGATAGCAGTGTTCCAATATCTAAAGGGCTGTCACAAAGAAGAGGGGGTCAACCTATTCTCCAATGGACCTGAAGGGATGACAAGGAGCAATGGGTGGAAACTAATCAAGGAGAGAACCAATTTAGAACTAGGGAGAAATTTCCTGACAGTTAGAACAAATAATCAGTAGAACGGCTTGCCTCCAGAAGTTTTGGGTGCTCCAGCACTGGAGGTTTTTAAGAAGAGATTGGACAACCATTTGTCTGAAATATTTAGGGTTTCCTGCTTGAACAGGGGGTTGGATTAGAAGACCCTCCAAGGCCATTCCAACTCTTGT